CATTTAATCATAGTTTCAGAAAATTGAATACTGAGATTACAAATAATGCATGGAATATATTTCCGTCAATCAACTGATCTTCATAGGTACCCGAAAAGATTATGGGCCTTGACCCTTCATGAGAATCTCTTGGCATTGCAGTAGCAAGTATTTTTTTACCCAGCTTCAAGTTCAGGGCCTTCCTTGAGGTCAATGGATTAGTCAGAACAACTGCTGCTGGGATTGTCACCATATAACTATTGCAAATGATAAGCAAACCATTTCCCGGATATATGGTTTCAGTAGATGTCTATCAAGCAACTGACCGAACCTTATGCAACTTTTATGGTACATTCTGCTCTGAGCAATATCGAAGTCTGATCAAAGTTAACCCCATCACGATAATTTATTACCAGAATTATTGATATCATAAACAAGCGAGCATTATGCCTTTGAATTATATGGAGAATGCCAGTTTTTTTCCTCAAATATAAATACGAACCTCGTTTTAAATTATATTTTACTAGTAAAATAGTAATATAAATATGACCAATAGGAACCTGTATGAAATATAAACTTTTGAGGAAGTACTGGAGGTTGTCCAGTGAAGGCTTTTTGGACTTGGGTTCTGAGATTGGTTCAGGAGAAGGACGTTTCATTGGGTAGAAAACGATGACATTTGAGGCACAGGTTGTGCATGGATGGTGGTTTTGGTAGTTGTTCTTGAAGCTGTCAAGGTGTAGTAGGGAGAGGTTGATGGATTCTTGGAGTTGAACATCATCTTCTTCTTGGTTCGGAACTTCAAAAGTCTGCTTCTTGGTTCATTTCACCCATGAGTTCTGCCTTTGTGGATTCTTCAGTTTTCAATCTTGGTTAGAGAGATTGTGCTCATTGGTTGAAACGCAGGGGAAGAGGGAACAGGAAAAAGGCAGAAAAACTGTTGACGGTTTATATAGAACTTTTGATGGTTGTACGGATGATCCTTGAATCCTGACCGTGTTACGGCTGTTGTAACTGGCAAACCAATGAGTGAATGCCATGTCAAAGTCCAATACCCCAAAAAGGAAGAAAAGAAAAAAAACAATCATCTGATGCATTCATTTCCCTAGATGAAGAAGGGGTGGGTCCAAACTAAAAACAAAATGCAATTTTCCACATTATATCGATCAAAATAAAATACAGAGATGATTGCATAAACCAAAGAACATAAACGGCTTCTTTATTTTATACATTTCAACCCAAGAATTATACTAAATTCAATGAGAGAAACAAGTTGAACATTATTACGAACAAGCTGCTAAATAAATTTCATGGGTGTATAAATTTTCCTCTAGCTGGTATCTCACTAGAATCGGGACTGAAGATAGGTAACCACAGTCTTGTCCAACTGGAAGGCCTTGGCAAGAACATCAGGATTGATGGGAGGGTTTGAGCCAAAGACTGCGTTTGCAATGGGGATAAGCCCTGGGTTTTGGCTGCTAAGACCAGAAATGGCAACAGCATTCGTGTTCCCTATGTTGAACTGGAAGTGAATGAGGCCTATTGGGAAAACGAAAACAACTCCAGGGTATAGGACTTTGGTGATAAGTCGATTATCCAGGTTGGATGTAACAAAGCCAACGTAGAGTGTGCCCTCCAAAACGACTAGGATTTCTGTGTCTCTAGGATGAGTGTGTGTGTGGGGGGGGGGGGGGGGGGTGGTTTAGGCCACCGTTGGGTGCAAAGTCAAGTCGAGCAAGAGATCTGCCAAGAGTGTTAAGTCCTAGTATTTGTTCAACGGTGACTAGAGTGACTTTTGATCCTAGTTGATTTGCTGTATTTCCTAGAATGTTGAGCCCGGAAAATAGAAGTCATTTGCGGAGGCGAGCTTTGCGTCCTTGCAAAACTTGCCATTAACAAAAACTGCAAAAACGGAAAGAAAAATATTAACACTTTGATACAATTCCATACAGAAAATGAGATAACACTTCTCAAATAGTTTAGGTGTTGACATGAATACATTCCAAAGAAGTCGGAGAGAGAATTAAAGTACATACCACCATCGTTGGTGTTATTAATTGCTACACAGAAGTCCTGAAGAGGGCTGGGATTAGAGGCAGAGGCAAATGTGACAGCCAGAGCCAACAGGACAAATGCTACATGGAAATGAACACCTTTCATTGTTGTATGGAAGCTTTCTTGATTAAATTGTTCTAAGCTTTTTGCCTGGTGAGGAGTGAAAGATCTGGCATGAAAGCATGCTATTTATAGATAGCACTCACTGAACAGGTTTATACATTTTCATTATTGAATTATTGTTTTGAGAAAACAAAAAAAGAAAACAGATGAAAGATTACCAAGTCTGCAGTGATTAATTGTTTTTAAAAAATCTGAATGATTCATTGTGCAGCTACTGCACCTTTATCCTTTTCGTATTTAATCTTCCCATGTTTGCATCAACAAATTGCAATGGAACTGGTCAATCTTTACATACCAAATATTTTCTTTGTTTATTTAACTATATTGACTTTAAAACAAAAATCAAAAGAAATATTTCCATGTATCTGAGATTGATCTACATTAATGTAATTTATTAACGTGTTGTTAACTATATTAATGTGTTTGAGCGTGCAAGCATCTCAGATTGAACTGTGTCAACTAAGACAATGAAACTTATCCAGAGATGCAAAACCACAATTCTTGAATCTTCCCAAGGCTTTCTTGCATGACTACTTCTCAAGTCATGCATGCTATTTCTTTGAATTAATTAATTAAATTCCTGGAGAGGTTCATTAGCCGGTCTGCGGCAGCAATTCATGAATATCATTTTTACAATTAAAATAGTGAATAATAAGTATAATAAAGGAAAAGAGAGCATTGTAACAAAGAAAGCATTCAGTTTCGTTAATTAAACAAATTGATTACTAACATAACAAAGTTCATTCATTTTCGATTCATTTACACCCTATCTCCATAGAACAGAATATGAATAAACCTGTGTAAAGTAGACCAAACTTGTCTTGAGCAATTACTGTTGATCATTTTAAACTAAGAGGGGAAATGGTCTTAGGCTCAATTTGGATCATCGATTATCAACGAGACGGCACGATTTGAAGCTTCAACTGCCTCTGTAGTAGGTTTGGATCTCATGCTTCGGTACGATTGAAGTTTCTCTGACCGTGCTGGAGGTGCCAATCGTCACTGGACCTTAAGGCACCAGTGAGAAAACATTCTATCCAGCGCAGCCCTTCTTCCCCTTTGTACCCCTGCATCATCTTCTTTTTTTTTTTTTTTTTACCCTCCGATAAACGGCACAAAGACAAGAAACTAATCTCATTTTTGGAGTAAAGTTTTTAACAGTCATTTTTTCTTCTCGATTTTAATTTTACTATAACAGTAATCAATTTCACCACTATGGTAATTAATCTCATCTCAATAGCTGTTTTCAATATTACCCAAACTAATCTCACCGACAACCCTTAAAAATAGCAAAACTCTGATGCTCCGTTTACTTGCCACGTGAAAGAAATTTCTTAAAGTTAAGTAGGTTGTGAACATCAGTCTTAAACGCTCCAATCCCCTTACCATGTGATTTCTTTTGCTTAATGTGGCTTGTTTGTGGCTTAATGTTAATCTTTTAACAACTCTTCCTTAATTTTCCTTGATCAAGTTGTGCAAGTAATTTGGCTATTTTCTTTGAGCAATCTGCTTTGCTGGTTAGTTCAATGAACATAGAAAGCTTTAAGTTCAATGTTCATAGAGTAAGCCTGTGTATAATATTCAATACTCAAGGTGTGTTCAATTCAGAAGAGTTCCAACAGATTATTCAAAATTCTCAGACCATTTCTTCCAGCACCAGTTCTACACCACCCCAGATATGCTAAGTGGTCAAATAGTAAAAAGTGCTGTGAGTAGAACAAGGTTAATTGATCTTACAAGAAATTTTGTGTTTTCAATGTGATAAGCATAAACGTCACAGCTTAAGTAACTATGAACATGTTAGAATAGACCAGATAAAATCACAAGCACTAAGCCTAATATTAATTTATTGCATTTGTGCTCCATGAATCAAGCTATTCGTATATCACTTGATTGGTTCTATATTGTAAAATTTGTTGGCCTGTTGCACCAAAATAATAAAAGTATAAATGAACATTTATTATCTTAATTGAATTAAAGAGAAAAAATAGACCACCAAGGGAAACAAAATGTCTGGCCACCATTCATAGCATGATAAGGTAGAAAATCATATGCAATTTTAACTTATTATACTGTCTAATAAGTTATAACATTCAACTTGGGTGGTGAAAAGTCAGGATGATAGATATTTTTGAGGCATTGCATTGGATAAGAGGTAAGAGCTCATAAGATAGGAGTATAAATGATATATTAATACTCGCAAATTATTCGGATTTAACTCGAATAAAAATCAAATTTAATTCAGTTATTATAGAGTTAAATTCGAATAACTCGACTTATCAATTGAGTCAAGTTTAAGTATTTTTATATCCGGTTTGAGTAGTTCACGAGCATAATCGAGTTTTTATATTTTATATTTTAATATATTTTGATTAAACTTTTGTTGAATATAAGAATAAAGCTTATTTTTACATACTAATCGAGTTTAATCAAGTGAGTTTGAGTAGCTTAATTTTTATTTCGAGTCGAGTTCAAACTAAAAAAATAAAACTCGATCAAGTTCAAATTAAGTTTCAAGACTTGAATTTGAAATCGAGCTCACGTTCGAACTTAATACTGTATCGATTTGAACTTAATCGATTACACCCCTACCATAAAGTAAAGAGTGTAGAATTCGGAGACAAACAACAGAAGATTGGATTCTTTTCAATCTCATTGTCTGACTTTCAATTCCAACCTACACTGCAAAAACACCATAGACAGAGACATGACAACTTTCATGGCCATTTTTCAGCATTTTAAGCATATGGCTACATAGAATGAGTAATAAACCAGGATAAATTTACTGAAAGTATTTGAAAATGATTGCTCTTGAAAAGTCTTTACCTGTTAGTTATGGAAAATAGGGACCCAGGTCATTGGTTTCCATCTATAAATAGCTGTCTGTCCTGCAAAGCTTCCCACTCTTCTTCAAAACAATAGCAAACAACTAGCAAAGTCAGATAAAACATTGCCCGTACGTCCTATAATGAAAGGAATGCACTCTATCCTTGCTGCTTTTGCCCTCTTGGCTTTTGCTTGCTCATTAGCCTCAGCCTTTGACACCAGTCCTCTCCACGACTTTTGTGTGGCTATCAATAACACCGAGGATGGCGGTAGGCATTCGTCTGCGTCAACTTTACTTTATTGTTCATGATCATGATGCTAATAATGCCTGAGCTGAAGGACATTCAGCTTAGGAGCAATATTTTAATATAATAACATTGCTGAAGGTGCGCTACTGTTGCATGATATGATATATATCAACTAACATTTCTTTCCTGCAGTGTTTGTAAACGGGAACTTCTGCAAGGACCCGAGGCTTACAGTAGCAGATGACTTCTTCTATTCAGGCCTCAACAAGCCAGGAAACACATCAAATCTAGTTGGATCAAATGTCACTGCTGTCAATGTTGACCAAATACCAGGACTTAACACTCTTGACATATCTATGGTTCGAATCGACTATGCGCCTTATGGTGGCCTAAACCCTCCTCACACTCACCCTCGAGGAACTGAGATCCTAGTTGTTGTAGAGGGCACACTTTACGTTGGCTTTGTTACATCCAACCCAGAAAACCGTCTCTTCACTAAAGTCCTATACCCTGGAGATGTTTTTGTTTTCCCGATCGGTTTGATTCACTTCCAGTTCAATATAGGGGAAACAAAGTCTGTTGCCTTTGCTGGTCTCAGCAGCCAAAATGCAGGGGCTATCACTATTGCTGATTCAGTCTTTGGCTCAAACCCAACAATCAATCCGAATGTTCTCACGAAGGCCTTCCAGTTGGACAAGACAGCGGTTACCTATCTTCAGTCCCGATTCGGATCAGGTTAACAAGTAACTTAAAAGCCAAATCATATTATTCCACTTAGTATGGTACCATCGTACGATAAACAGGCTGGTTGATAATGGACCTCTCCATAGTCCAGTCTCCTCTCTCCTTGTGATCTGAGATCATTTTATGTATGAAAAAACTAGTATTGAATAAAACCGTGTTATCACTCACAAAAATTTGATTCAAAGTCTTTGAGGTAACAGAAGCCTTCAAGTTTACTTTTCTGTCACGTGTGAAAGCCTAACCAGGCAAAATTCAAGTCATTACTCTAAAAAAAATTTTGAATATCAAGGAACAGTTCTCGGAGGTCAATTCAATTCAAAGTACCCCCGTTCATTTTTCGCTAACTGAAGCGATCAAAAGACCAGGAAATTTTCACTGTAGCATGGTTAATTGCACTTGTAAGCAATTAAGAATGTTCTCATATATGATTGAGCATCAAGGAACATGTGAGAACAGACTTTATCAACTGAGACCATATAATATATTGATTGGAGATAAAATCAGAAGCCTTAAACTAGCTTTAGTTTTTGTCTCATTAACGCTTCTTAGACCATGCTAACTACAAGAATGAATGGAGTTTTGGCTGACAAAATTGCCGGCTGTATGCAGCAACTCCAGATATAAATTAAATTATTTCACTATTGAAAATAATGAATTTGAAAAAGAAAAAGATATATGAAGAAGACTATGCAAAACTGTTTTTGAGTTTATATTTGATGATATGTTATGCACTTTCTATATATCTATAAACTTACTAAATAGTAACCTGCAGCCTCAAAATTTTTTTTTAATAAATGTTAATTTCAAGGAAATGGCAACTTGTGACTGGCAAATTATGATTTACTCATAATTTGTGCCAACTGCAGGCCGTCAGATATAAACTTGTTTTTAGCACTTTTCCATAAAGTTAACACAGAATCAATGCATAAAAACTTTATGCTGCTTTTGTATCTTTGCTGATCTAATCCTCCTTGTATGTTGATTTTGGATTTTTTTTAAGTTATTACAGCTTGTTCCAAATTAAGGCCCAATCTTAACTTTTATAAAGATCTCATTGAAAGCATCCTCTGGAAGATACTTTAATTAAGGCCTTGGAATTAGCCATGTGAATTTATGCAAAACATTAGAGGATTTCCATAATTGGTTGATTTTATGTTTCATGCAAGTTTTGGAAAGTTCCAAACTTATTTGCCAGAATCCAGAATACACTAAATTTGTTCATAAGAGTCAAAGACCCAATGCTTCAAAGAAGATTTAGAGAGACATTTAATTAATCCTAGTTTCATAAAATTGAATCTGAAAAATCCTAGGATTACAAATAGTGCATGGAACATATTTCAGACAATCAACTGATTTTCATAGGTACCTGAAAGAATTATGGGCCTTGACCCTTCAATCTCTTGGTTTTTTTTGCCCAGCGTCAAGTTCAGGGCCTTCCTTGAGGCCAATGGATTAGTCAGAACAACTGCTACTAGGATTGTTACCATATAACTATTGCAAATGATAAGCAACCATTTCTTGGATATATCGTTTCAGTAGATTGTCTACCAAGCAACTGAGCGAACTTTCTGCAAACTTTTATGGTACATTCTGCTCTGAACAATATTGAAGTCTGATCAAAGTTAACTCCATCACGATGATTTATAACCCAAAATATTGATATCATGAACAAGCGAGCATTATGTCTTCGAATTATATGGAGAATGCCAGTTTTTTTCCTCAAATATACATAGGAACTTCATTTTGAATTATAATTTACTAGTAAAATAGTAATACAAATATGACCAATAGCCACAGGAACCTGTGTGAAATAGAAACTGCCATAAATGACTGAAAATTTATTTCGTAGGATACCTAATAAATATCAAAACCAAATTTGTATAAAACAATAACTAGTAATCCTTTTTTCTTTTTTTTTGGTAGAAAAGAGGCTACAGCCTGATAATAGGCAAACTGATTGCAGGGGCTGGGATTTGATCCCTACCTGTTGAATGGTATTTCTTAAAGGTGACTATATAAACCAATTAAGTTAAGCTCAGATTCAATTGGTGATCCTTCCTCAAAACAAAAACTATGATAAGTCTAGAATAATGGAAGACTACTAGCATGATTTGTGTTATAAAAATAGAAATTTTGGAATACTTGGTCGGCTATGGACATTAGTGTTGGATGTTTGCAATCTGTTACATTATTTTCTATTATACGTTTTCTGACTGGCTTATGGTTCAATGTCATCATCACCTCCCAATTTTTTCAACTACTCTTCATTATTTTCTCTTGATTACATTATACAAGTTAGCCGGCTAGTTGGTGCCACATTTTTCAACAATTTGCTTACCTGATTAGTTTCATCAACTATAGGATGCACCAACTGACCCTAATGATAAAAGACTAATATTGTGTATGCTGATTGAATGTCATCAAGTGGTTTGAGAAGAAGCATTACTTTTAGTTTCAGAGCAAGACTGTTTAATGTTCTAAGTGATTCTGCCATTCACCAAACATTTATAGATTAAATCTTGAGTGAAAAAAAATTTTCCTTTGATAAATATTATTTTTCGACTTACATTACGTGTAGCGTTCTGAACAAAGAATATCAAAGGAATGATAGGTGTCTCAAGATGAAGCTTTTCTGTCCTGATATAAGAGAATTTAAATTACTAATTGAAAGTTGCTGATAAGCCTATAGTAAGAGTTTTTTGTCAGAACTGGGGCTAAATTCCGACCTCCTGTTATTTATTCTTGCTGTAGCCTTCATTTGTCTATTTTGATGGTCTTTGTCTTGCTGGTTTCATTTTGTTTTTTCGGATTAACTTGTTCCTGTTTGTCTTCTGCTGACCTACTGCTTTCCGTTGGAACAGAGCTGTCATGCTTCATTTTTGTAACGCCCCATCCCTCTCTGAAATTTTGCCATGATATATATAGGTAGAAGTTTAAGCTCAAATTTGTAAAGTGCTTTTTATAAAATAAAACTTTAAAACTTTCGGATTAAAACGAATAATATTTCACATGTTTGATGCAAATTTTCACAAATAGTATCAAAACAATCACCAATCGAACATGAGCTAAGTGCTACACGGTGGAATCCCAACATCTAGTATGATCCTATAATTTATGTATACTTTGCGTTGAGGTTACATAACGTTTGCTGTGGTTTGGTAAATTTATATGTTTTGTGTTGATAAGAGTTCGTAACATCCCAATTCTACATCGAAATAATCTGAAGTTCTACTATGATAAATATGTAGAGATTTAAACTCAAAATAATTTGAAATTCTGCTATGATATATATGTAGAGATTTATACTCAAATTCGTAAGATTCTTATTGTGAGGCAAAATCTGATATTTTTGAATCAAAACGGATAATATTTCGTAGATTAAATATAGATCTCCATAACTTTAGGTTGGGTAACTTTGAAAATATTAAATCCCAATTATCCAAATGAAAAGTTCATATATGGGTTCAATACTGTAATCTACCTCTAGATGAAAAATATTCTTGGGGAATATAGCATAAACAAAACTGGAATATATGAGATAATTAGTACTACTGTACTGGATCTTCATCTATATATAGTCCTTGTCTGCCAAGTAAAATTTCTCACCTCTCCTCCAAGCAAATAGCAAAGAAGTACTAGAAGTATATAGCAAAGTGATCCAAAATGAAAGGAGTGAACAATTTCCTTGTAACTTTTTCCCTCTTGGCTTTGGCTTCTACATTTGCCTCAGCCTCAGACCCTAGCCCTCTCCAGGACTTCTGTGTAGCCGTCAATGGCACCAAGAATGCTGGTATGCATTTAGTTCGTCATGATAACCTTACCATGTACACTAACTTTTGCTTGTATTTGTATTAACCATCATCATTTTCTTTTCATCCAGTGTTTGTAAATGGTAAGTTGTGCAAGGATCCAAAGCTTGCCACTGCAGATGACTTCTTCTTTTCAGGGCTCGAAAAAGCAGGAAACACATCAAATGCAGTGGGATCAAAAGTCACTCCTGTAAATGTTGACCAAATACCAGGACTTAACACTCTTGATATATCCCTGGCTCGAATTGACTATGCACCTAATGGTGGCCTAAACCCTCCTCACACTCACCCTCGTGGCACAGAGATCCTAGTTGTGGCAAAGGGTACACTTTATGTTGGCTTTGTGACCTCCAATCCGGACAATCGCTTCATCACCAAGGTCCTGAAGACAGGAGATGTGTTTGTTTTCCCTGTTGGTCTGATTCACTTCCAGTTCAATGTCGGGAAAACTAATGCCATTGCCTTAGCTGGTCTCAGCAGCCAAAATCCAGGTGTTATCACTATTGCAAATGCAGTCTTTGGCTCTAAACCACCTATCAACCCTGATGTTCTCAGTAAAGCCTTCAAACTGGACAAGGAAGTGGTGAAATATCTTCAGACTCAGTTCTGATGGGATAACAACTGATCAAGAAATTCCTTGAATAAAGTGTACTCCTTTATCTTCTTTGTTTTGAATAATTTTTATGCATTCTCCATTTTTCAATCTTGTACTCCCCACTTTGTTTATGTTTCCCTTTTTCCTATAGTAATTAGTCTGTCTATGCTTATGTTTAGTAAGTTAAATCATGAAGGGAGTGACACTGAAAAACGAACTAGTGTCTTTTGTCTTTGTGTTGAAAGTTGAACAAATGGAGATTCAAGTTCTTATTGTAATTTGTATTTTGTTAGGCTGTCAACAATTCTGGTCAACGGTTCAAACAATTATTTTGCATTTTGTTATGGATGATTGGATAAAATGGTGATGTTCATTTGTTAAATAATGACAGGAGTTAATTAAAGAATCACACGGTCAGTTATTGATGGTGATATAACAGTTTACTAAAATACTCTTGCTGTCTGGCAAATTGCAATTCAGGATTAAAGAATTTGAAGTCATTTTCACCCAACAATTCTTAACCTCTATTCGTTTTTCTTTCCTTTTCTTTCTTTCGCATCGTGGATAAATCTTGCTCTGAAACTCATTCTGTGCTGAAGAATCAGGACAAGACACAATCTTTCTGCAAATTTCCAAGAGACATGAATGATCAGGTAAATAAAAATTGTAGTAGTAATTTCATTTCTTCTGCCAGAACTTTTTAGTCTTTGCCACTTGTTTAAATTTAGGGCAATACAGAGATTTTTATGCATCTGCATAAAAATATCAGAAACACATCTCTATTTTGAATAAACCCTCAACAATCTTTTTACTAAGGAAATTTTTTTTTTCCTATATCCTCTGAATCTTATCTACAATCCCCGTTTGGTCCTATCTATCATAAGGGAAACCAAAGTCATTTTCAGTGACTTTGAAATGCTGGGGCTGCTGCCCTGAGCAATAAAGACTCCACATTTTGAAGTATGACCTCTCCAGATTCCGCACCTGCCATGGTTTACAAGTAAACAGTTTATGCATTTATCAATAGAAAATGCAAAAATAATAACAGATACGTCAATTAAGCTTTACCCAGCGTGCTGTGTCAAAGAGAGGGCAAGTTAAACGAGCCGCCTTGAGTTTATTTGTGAGAGCCAGGAGTTTCGGTCTGTTTAATGCCAAAGAGACGGCCCTTTCCTCATATTCCTTCATACTGTAAAGCAGGAAGAAATTACAATAACATAAATGGCAAATAAAGGCATAGAATGATAATTAGATACAAGAGGATATGTCCAACTCAGATAGTATAAAAATGAATTTAATATGATTTTATACAAATAAGTTAATGTTATGAAAAGTCCTGAATTTCATTTTCATATGCTACATGAATTTTAAAAATTTCTAACATGATACCTTAATTATGAATTTGTTAATTAATATGGTACTCATCTCTAATATAATTAACTCTAAATGATAAAAAGTAACAGACAAAAAACTCCAAATATTACATTAATTAATAAATTTATAATTCAAATGCCACAGTAGAATTTAGGTATCACATTAAAAATTTGACTATAGTTTAAGCATTATTCATAACATTATCTTGTACAAATCCATATTCTCCAAGGACAATGTTAAAAACACCTACCTGTTCACAATCATCTCCTCCCCCAAACCAGTGGCTAGACAAAGTGATCCAGCAACCCTTGTAGCCATTTTCTCAAGAGGCAGAGTCACAATCGGTAAACCAGCCCACAATACATCTGTTCCAGTGGTATGTGCATTGCATAAAGGCCTAGAAAGAAGAATAATGCAACCATCATTACTGAAATCCAAATCAAAATAATGCTGCTAAAGAAAGAGAGAAGGAAGAGAATAGTTACGTGTCGAGAAATAGATCAGCTAAAGCACTGCGCCTGATATGTTCATGTTTCATTGCAACATCTGTGAAAATAATTTGTTCAGGCTGTACACCTTGTGCGATAGCATCTGAAATAAAGACCAACAAAACCAATAAAAACCCCAATATCATGAAGGTTGCATTCTTATAAGAAATATGAAATAGTAGAACCTACATGCTCGCAGTCTCATTTCTCCAGCAGCTGGGAATCTGAGGAGCCAAAGTGCACTATTTGGTACACGCTTAAGAATATTACACCTGAATGATAAAATAAGTATACAAGTGAAATGACAAAATATGGGAAATTACAAAAAATCGGGATCATCGTCATACTACCAAGTATTAAAGATTTCAGGATCCATTTTATACAATTGGTTGAAGCATGCAAAAATAAATTTATCTTCTGGAAGACCATAATCAGATCGCTTGAGCTGACAAGTTGGATCCAACACATCACGATTTTTCTGCAAACATTAATAGCCATAGTATCAGGCCTTTATTGTCTAAATGACAGCACATTATAAGAGTTTACTGACAACAAATAGATTCTATTTTATTGCACTGTTAAAAAAAAAAAAAAACTCACCTGCTTATAATCATTAACAAAGTAGCAATGAGGGAGATGGACAAGCTTCTCAGAATAAATACGTGAATAGCGCAAAGGTGAAACAAACTGAAAGAAAACAAAATAGCATGTTAGACAAAGAAAATATGAATCATTGAAGGGTTATGTAAGGCCTTGATTTCTACCTCATCAGTGACCAAGTAATCAATGTAATTTGCCCCAGTAGTCCCAGGAAATCCCATGTATGAAACCTGTATAGGTGCAGGCTGCATGGCAAAAATTTCATTCCTCGCCCCCTGTATTATCGAGCAGGGCATTTCATATTAAAATTTCATAGTCATAATGTTGACAATTCAGAAGTGTAATATAGAACAGACTTTTCAGCACCATACATTACATAAAATAGGCACCACAAAAGCCAAAAGATTAAAAGAATGGAACTCAGATAGATTTTTCTCTATGATATCAAAAAATAACTCAATATAGCAAACCTCTGAAAATTAAAATTAGGTTCCTCAAAGGAGGAGCAAATTAAACATGATATACCTTAGTATAACCATTCAGGTTGATAAGGATTTGTATTCCATCCTCATTAATCATTTTGGCAATCACATCTGATGACATGGCTGAGACATCTATAAAATGCTCAGCTTCTGACTGGATACGCTGTCTCCATTCAGTGCCATCATTTTGACTCAAGGCATAGCAATATACCTGCAAACACCATGTTTTTATGTTTAATCATCCAGAGAGTTCTAACATAATGAGATTAACAAAAAAACACAACCTCAACATTCTCCCTGTTGTGCATGCCAAACACTGATCCCATGAGGTGTGACAAGGGGTGATTGCCGAAGTCACTGCTCACATAACCGACTCTTAGCCTCTCATTTCCACCATTGCGCTTAATAGGAATTGGAGCAGGATGGTTGAAAGAAGGGAGAGCAAAACGAGATGCAATCATGGAGCAATGAGCAGCATATTTACAACTGCAAGAGAAGGGAAGAAATACTAAGAAAAAACTCTAGTTCACCACAGTAAATTACATATGGTGCCATGAAAAGAAATTTATACCTTATATCAAGTGCAAGCATCGGATCAATGGGATATGCAATGGCATGGAAAGGTTGCACACTAGGAAGAACTGACATCTGGGATAAAGGAATTATTGAGGTTAAGTGAATTGAGGAAGGAAATACTATGGAAGAAGTTGCTGGTCTTTAAAAAAAGATATAATAAAAAATAACATATATTACAAGGAAACGGAAAAAGTACAAGCATGTCAATACTCACATTAATCTGCCTTCGGATAATGCCTTCAACTTCAGTAAACATTTTATCACGATCCTCCCAGCTGCACACACACTGGAAATATAAAATAAAATTAGATGAGTTTATCTCAATTCAAAATGCTTCCTACAACTATATAAAATGATATCTAATGGTTGTAAAAGTAGCTTTTAACTAGATACTAATTTTACTTTTTGAGCTAGCTTAAACTAATTCCATAGTGCATTAAAATTCCAGCCATGATACCTGTAATGTATGTAGAAGGTTACAAGTTGCTTCAGGAAACTCTTGTCGAAGAAGCAATGCCTGCTTATAGCTTTTAACAGCAGCCTCCACATGTCCACTGCATTACAAGTAAACCCAACTCAATATTACCAAATTGTTAGAAGATCAAAAGGCAGTTTCCTCACCCCAATAGAGCAGATGTTAAATAGATGTCATAAATAAACTTTACACTGACAAAAGTTGGATGCATCATATTGGTTTTTCCATATTTTGGATGAAACATCAACCTCCCATTGGTTTTTTTTCTTTTTTGAGCTATAAAGGTTAATCACAAAAGACGAGACAAAGAAACAGATCTTAGGACTTTCTAAAATATTCAAAAAGCACAATCAAACTATACAAGGAAGATGAGATACTTATATCGAAGCAAATTACACCGCTATTGACCCTCAATGCAGGGAATACAAAAACGAGTCTGAAAAATATCTTCACAAAACAGAGAGTAAGAACCAAAACTCAAAAGGAATCATTAGCGAAAGGCAAGGGACAAAGGGCTCAAAGATTTCACTCAAGCTCAAAGCAAAAAAGAAAATACCAAAGGAAAAGTCCCCGCTTTCTAAGTGCCCCGTAAAAAGATGCTAGTGACCCTAACAAAATGTCCTAACAAAAATGGTTTCTATTACCAAGGAATGTGAACAATAAAAGGATATGGTGGGAAAGAATGAAATTACCTATCCTTATAAGCAGAAGCCAGATTTGCATGGGCTTCAGCCATATTTGGCCGGATATTAATAGCACGAATATAATCTTGAATTGCTTCACTCACTCTACCAATCTCCTTGTAAGTGTTACCCCTATTTACAAGCCCATCAGCTGCCAAAGGATCAATCCGCAAAACCTCATTGTAACAAGAAATAGCTTCCACGTAATTTCCCTATAGTAGAATTATGATACTCATTAAATACCGGAGGGAAAGAAAGAAGGGCACTTACTAACATCCATTTAGTATCAAAGGAAACACAGAAAATCAAACACCAAAGAATAACCTGTTGCTTATAGATTACAGCAAGGTTGTTGAATGGAGCAGACAGCCCTGTTGTGACAGCCAATGTAGCCTTATAGTACGAAGTGGCAGCAGCAACCATGTTCCTGTGAGTTTCAAAACACCTTGTAAAAATACCATTCTCTAGAAACTCATCATGAACTGAATTTTGATCATTCAGATGTCAAGAATTTGTGGATAGTGTACCATTCCATATATATGTTCCCAAGGTTCGTAAGAGCTTGTGGATGATTAGGTTGCAATGTGAGACATTGCTGCACCCACCATCAAAAGATCAATAACAGTAAATGAGTGAAAATAAAGCCCAGATGACCAGAAAAGAACCTACGTTATAGCATTGAATTGCCTCATCAACATGGCCCACATCTTTCAATGCATTTCCCTTCAAGTCAATAGTTAAAAGCAAATTCAAGCTAGCAACAACTTTAAAAGCAAAAGCATAGATACTAACTATAATGTTTATACTCTGACACAAATTGAGAAAACCAACCAAATTGTTGTAAGCCTCCAAAAATCTTCGGTCAGAGGCAATAGCTTGCTTATAATGGAGGATTGCCAGATCCAGTTGACCTCGTTCATAGTACGTACTAGCCAGATTCCCTGCACCATAGAGTCATACAACCTGGTACTTCAATAACATAAATTAACGTTGGCCAAAACAAATTAACATAAATTAACATGACTAACTTCAACAATAACTCTATGCACAAAAATACTCAGCAGTTACATCACACTTTATCATGTAGGCTGGGACCCCAACTTCCAAAAACAGCAAGGACTAGACATAGTGACTTTGAGGTTAATATATAAGAAAGAGATATTAAGAAATTAAAAATGCAAAGTAAAATTACTGCACAAAACAAATAAAGTGACAAAGAAAAAACCTAAGAAGTCTTGCTGCCTTTGACTAAAGCAAAAGCTGAAATATATATATATATATATATATATATATATATATATACCTCCAATCAAGTCAAATGCAATTAATCTTAAAATTTCAACCTTAATAAAAGAGAAGATATACGGGATCCATGTGATGTGGTAGCTCTTACCCAAAGCTATTGGATTGTTTGGCCGAGTCTGAACAGCACGCTGATAACAAACAATAGCCTCCTGAGGCATCCCCAAAGCCTGGAAAAGGCAAAAGAGATATCTTGTTTTTGTCCAATACAAGAAGATCGGTCCATGCACTTGCACCAACCCAACTTATGGGCACAAAGCAAGATGGCTTACCTTGTATATATTCCCAAGATTTAAATAGGCATCAGGAAATGTGGGCTTGAGTTTAACAGCTTCCTGTGATTTAAAATTTATAAATCAGTATAACTACATGATAAAACAGTTCTTACGACTAAAATCAAGTAGGGCGAAAATGGTAGATTATCTCATACAAAATTATTAAAAAAGAACCAACACATAAAAAAATTTGTCATGCCATATCTTTTGCAAGCAAGACAATGAAAATTACAGCATTTGAACAAGACAAAAACAACAAAAGAAACAATGATGGAAACAAGATTCTGCATACCTTGTAATACTGAAGTGCTCTATTTAAGTCACCCGAATCCATGAAAAGACCCGCAAGATTTGACCATGCAATGGCAAACGTTGGCTGTATCCGTAAAGCCTCAAGGTAGCAACTGTAAGCCTGCACAAAACGTTAGATTCTGACAATTTCGAGTCTTTGCAGATGGAAGTTACAACAAGAGCAACCATCATCTGAGCCCTGGCCTGTAGATAACAACTTGATATCTGTATTGAACTGTGATAGACACAGTTCCACACATGAATTACTTATATCAGTAACTTACCGGATAAAGACACTACAAAAATTTAAATATGGGAAGGATGTTTTCCCCTCTCATTCTGTTCAGGCAAGATGATAAGAGTCTAGGCCAGGTTAACCCAGCAATGAGCATAAACTCACAGTAGGCAAAAGATTAGACCACTTCCAACACAACATGGATAGAATGAGGTCCAACCAAAATCCTAATTGCAGATGTTCAACATGGTAGTCACCAATGGTGACCAATTACATCAGTTACCTTAGTTCAGCCCAAGAATTCACATCCCTGGCTACTAGTTATCTAGATGAGCTATCAAACTGTATAAACATTTCATTTATTGACACTTACTTCTTGCACCAGCCCTTGTGCCTTCATTAGATTTCCAAGGTTACTATGAGCATCAACCTGCAAAGCAATTAAAAGATTAAGTCAGAAAATCTTACACATAGGCCTAAAAGTTTAACTGAAACCTTAAATGATGTGTCTCAGTTGTTAAGAAAACAAAGGAACAAACAAAAAACAGAAATTGAAATGCAGAAATTCCTGTTGACTTAGAAGTTTAGAACATTTAAGGGGATTATAATAAGATATAACCAGATCAAAATATACCAAAAGAGGATTTAATTGCAGCGCCTGACGGCAACACTGTGCAGCCTCATTAAATCTTCCTTTTCGCATGTAAGCACTAGCTAAATTTGACCATGCATCAGCAAAGTTTGGTCGAAGCTGCAGCAATGCAATTTCAAACAAAGATCAACAAACTAACAATGGATTCCACTAGCAAGGGAGGAACAAAAACCATTACTAACAAAAGAGAAAGTTTTATAACTATAAACAAACCTCAATTGCAATCATATAGTAACGAATGGCAACATCAATATCGCCTTTTTCCTACAAATTAGGGAAAATAGCACGCCTCCATCAGTTTCAGTTCTTCAAAAAACCTTCTTTTTTAAGATTCATTTTTAATTTAGTTTCAAAAAATCAATGTAGAGATTAAATAAGTACCTTCCAAGCATTTGCCATGTTCCCATAACACTCAGCGAAACGAGGATCAATTTGAAGTGCTTCTTCATTTTTGGTAATGCACATATCATAATCTTGCAACTGTACACATACACAAAAAGATTAGAAAACTACAAAATCATGTCCCCATATAGAAGATGAAAAAGGTAATTTTTTTTAACCTGATAATAGATAGCACCCAAAAGAAGCAGATTATCAGTATGAAGCGGGTTTTGATCATAAACAGCATTGCTATGATCCAATGCTTCTTTGTAGTTTCCGGATTTATACATTTGATGAGCTAGAGCCAAGTGCATATCTTCATCAACTGCATCAACATTAAATCAACAGCCACATCAGCCAACTAAAAATTTAGACTGATAAATGATTCAACCAATTTAGAACAGTAAAAAAAATATAATATAAATTCTTCAAAAAGGTATAAAATCTGTAATTTATTTCAATTTTGAAGAATTATACAAAAAAAAAAAAAAAGATGATACATAAAAGAATCAAAGTCTAAAATTTGTATCAAAATGATTTAAAAAAAAAAAAAAAGGCAGATCTAACTGAAAATACAGCTTTTAAAATCCAATAAAAACTTTTTATGATCAAATTTCAAAAAAAAAGTTTTTTTTTTTAAATCAACTGTAATGGTCTAAAATTTTCGAGCATTAAATTTTTTTTCTTTGGACAAGAGAGTATTGAAGATCCAACAATTAAGAAACAACAATAATTTAGAAAGAACATTGATATGAAAAACAATGAAGAAACGAACCTTCATGTGAATCATGTCCTTTATGAAGCACAATACCGAGCGAAGAAGCCGGCTCCGGCTTTACCGCATAAACGGCGGCTTTGCCAGCAGCCACCGCCTCCGCGTTGGAGGTATCATTAGATCTATCGACGACTCCGGTACCGTACGGAGCAGCCCTAGAGATCCCCACTCCGTTTTGCATCGACAACATCTCCGATCTCCCTCAACAAAATCCAATCATCAAACCGCAAAAAAAAAAAAAAAAAGTTTCGAAATTTATCAGATCAAACGGCTCGATCAAACGCCACAGTTTCTTAGAGTGTTTTTTTTTTGTTCAGGCTGTTTCCCCTATTTCACTAAGAACTGTTGATGGGGAGTTTATATGGTGAATAGATGGGAAATCTGAGCCGTCGATTTGTACGTGTAAGGAAGAGATTAAGCCGTTTGGTGATAGGGGAAAACAAAAAAGAAGATTCGGTTTGTTACTGACACGTATCTAGTTTGATTTGACGACCTGTTTGGGAGATTATCTTAGCAATTGCATTATAAAAATAAAAAATTTAATGTAAATTTTTTAAAATTTTTATTTATCAAATATATTTATTTACTTTTTAAGACTAATGTAAATTAAAATTTTCAAATAAAATAATTAAACGTAAATTTTATTCTTTTTTTTTATTATCAAACAATTATAAATTAAATAAATTTTATTAATAATAAAAAAAATATTTACAATGATAATTTAAAAATATACTGAACAACAATAATTATTTCCGTCAATTCAAAAATTCCTCCATATCTATGCTTTTATTTATATTAACACATAATTAGGTACTTCGAATGTAAATATGCAATTCTATTATAAAATATAAATAAATAAAATTTTAATTAATAAATTAACTTATTAATAGATTTTTAAATCTTTTAATATTATAAAAAACTCAATTGGTATGAAACTGAGAAATCTTGTATTAAAAGAAAATCATGACAATAAAAATAAAACTATTTTGAATTTATTTTGAACTCAAATACTACTCTCAATTATAAAACTAATAAATCATGATTATAAAAATAAAAAAATATAAACATATATATGCAATTAAAAAAAGTATTCTTTAAAAAAATTATCACCATCTATTATATAAATTGCTTGAAAAAATGACTTGAAGAGCATAACATGAAACAAATATGAGCATATGGGTCATTAATTTTTAAGTTCAAAAACATTTTAAAAAGCTTTACTTATGGAACCTTTTGAGTGGGATGACATCTTCTGGTAAAGAATCAAGAAAGATTATTACAAATATGAGGGTAAAAACAGCATAAAAAACATAATTAAATCCAACTAAAAGATACGAGATGATTTGTCGTATTTGCCTCGAGGTGCTTAGGGCAATTTTTTTTTTTTATAAGGCATATATGCTTGAAGGAACGTGATACTTTGAGTGTGTGAGTGTGTGAGTGTGTGAGTGTGAAACCATTTTGTATTATTATGAAGAAGCGTTTGATTTTGAAACTTTAGCCAAATAATTAAATAAAACTAGAGTAACAAAGTTGAACTTTATTATTTTATTTAAATAAATTTTTATTTTTTAATTGTATCTAAATAATTTTTTATTTTTTATTTTTTATTTTACACTCAAATAAATTTTTATTTTCATCTAATTTATTTAAGATGATATATTTATTTTGGCAAAAAAAATAATTTCAAATTCATTATTTAATTTAATTAATTTATGTAGTTATTTTTAAGATTTTAATTTCAGCATCTATAATTTTTTTATTCTCAAAATTGCTTATTCTTTTGTAAAAAATATATATTTCAAATCTATTGATATCCATATTCCCTATCCCCAAACTACAATCAGTGTGCACAAATTTATGCCTCAGACAATGGTTAAAATTCAGTCTTCTAATTTATCTAAAATAATAAAATTAAAGAAAAAATGCTTTCCAAATTGGGTTATTGCATTAATTCTTAATTCATGATAGATAAAAGGTTGATGATTCAAGTAAAAATCTTAGGAAAAAAACACCCAAAGAGGTTAAAAAGAAAAAAAAAAAAAAAAAGGAGTTTTTGGCTAGTATTTCTTTTAATTATTTTAATTATTAATCATGGAAATTTTGCCAATCATTTAGACAAATATATCCGAATTAATTACTAAAATAAAGGGCATTATCCATTAATTTAGTTTAGGAAAACGAAACTAGCACATAAACTATAGTAACCAAAGGCTAAATGAGCAAACCTACACATATACGTATGCTTATATAAAGCATATTGAGGTTTGCATTTTTATTTGTAGTCATATTTAGGCCATAAAGTTTAAGTTTTTTTTGGCTTAAGAAGTAACATAATCCATGGTCAAATAACTTCAACCAAACTGATCATGATCAGTTGTTCTTATTGAGCTCTTGGAGAAGAAAGTTGATCTTATCAGCAGTCAATGGCTTTTCAAAGCAATAATCCAATCCTGCCTCCATGAAAGCTTGCTTCTCATATGGTGAATCACGGGAAGTTACACCAACGATCAAGCTATTCACTCCCATAGCTTGCAACTCCTTGGTTGCCTGTAACATATACCAAAAAATGTTCAATTAAACTTATCCGTTAATAAATTTTAGATTCAAATCTCTGGTATTAATATTTTTTTCGAAATGTTTAAGCCCTTTCGATTCAACAAAGCAAGGATCAGAAGGACTCATTACTTGTATTATCATAAAGAGTAAACCCCAACTTTGAAATTTTTATCTCATTATGTGCTTGTAACTTTTGTTAGAGTCCAAGCAAATTGATTTTTGAAAACTATATACACACCTCAGCACCATCCATGACAGGCATTTCCTTGTCAATTAGAATGAGATTGAAAGTAGCTCCAAAATGGCAAAGATCAACAGCCTTTTTTCCATTTTCAACCACTTGAACCTTTAGTCCAAATTTTTTGAGGTGCATTTCATGGAGTTTTTGGATGAGAGGATCATCATCAGCAACTAGCACAGTGAAGTTGTTGCTGTTGTCAACCATTTCTTCAGCTCCATCAACCTTATTCATGCTCAATGAACTCGATGCACCTTTTCCAAGCACCATTTTTCAACCTTCTGCTTCTTTCAAACATAGAAAGGTTAGCTATAAGAAGTCATGAAAATTTTACTCAACTTAAAGCAATAACATGTAAATAGGCAAAAAGAAGATACATAGCTTAATTTGATTACCTCACTGCTAGTTTTTTGCTTACTTGAATGCTAATTTTTAGAGATGAATAGGTAAAAAGAAGATCATTCATATTTTTTTATTTTTATCAATTTAATTATAATTCTTTATTATTAAAATCTTTTATAATAAATAATAATCAATTATTTTCATTTCATTTTATTCATAAATCTTTGGACCCATTTTGGATCAATTTTAGCGTTTAGTAGATAGATAAAACCTTAATAAACTTCAATCAAAATATTAAAGTTTGATGATGCGTTGGCAACAAAAAAAAAACATTTTCATGATGTGATTCTTATTTTCAATGTTGAATAATTTTGTGTGTTTAAGATTGAATTATATTTTTTTTCTTTGAATCAAAATACCGCCATTATCCCATAATTTTAACTACAATTTGGTTGGTAGTTCAGTCTTGCTTTTAGCAATGAAAACGGGTCTAAAGGGAAAGAAGCTGTATTATTTCCATTAAACCAAGCAAAAAGTAGAAACTTTTTTTATCTTTTTAATTTAGATATGAATTATGATAAAGGTTAAAGGCATTAATGCCAACTACTCATCAATTCATTACAAAGGCATGTCCAATTCCAACATTAGAATCCACTGAATTCCATTACATTCACGACAAAGCAAACAGTTGAAGAAACAGGTTATTGCAGAAGAACCAAAAGAGTTAAAAAAAAAGTTCATGTCAGATCCTAGAATCCAAGGCCATGATGGTGCTGAGATTCATGGGGTTCATGTACTCATTAGAGCCAGTCATTATCTGTTCCACAATCAATCTGTTAGCCTTCTCTGATGGATGGAATGGATCCCAAAATGCATAGAGAGCTCTGTTGGGACACAAATTGGACAATCGAGTGCATAGACCAAGTCCATTGTAAGGTCCTTGCCCACAACAGGCTATCTGTGATGTTGTAAATCCTGTTCAAAACATGACAAAGATCCAAGTTAGAAAAGACATAATTTAGTAGCGTTTTAGATTTTGGAAGGCAGGGAAGTACCAAAGGCTCGAGGGTCGCTAATGAAATCATTGTGCATTTTTTGAGTGTTTGCACTAACGAAGACATCTCTGCCAATTTTCCTGTTGAGTCCATTTAACATCTGAACAAGTTGTGGGTTGTAAAAGGATGCAGCGCGTTGCAGTTCTTCTGAGCATCCGCCATTGGTGCCCCGCATAGCCAGTTCTGCTGGAACACAACCCATTGGTCCAGTGCCTGTCACTAGAACCCTGCGTGCTCCCTGCTTGTATAGCTTCTGCAATAATAATGATGAAGAATACTCAGGGTTTGTAGTTAAATACGTGAAGAACCAAAAAGAGCTAATAATAAAGTTAAAGCAGCCCACAACCGTGTGGTTATGGTTAGTGTTCGATTCTTAGTTCAAGTGATTAGGATTCAAATCCTAACAAGTTTAAGTATAAAAAAGAAAAAAGTCCAAGCAGAAAATGAGTGATGTTTGCTTGCTTGCAAAGCCAAACATGAAACATGTGCTTTGTGCAACCTCAATTTTTTTTTTACAAAGAGGCTACAGCCTGGGGATAAAGGAAGGGATTGCAGATGTTAGAATTCGAACCATAAACTTCTAAATGTCATCTCTTAAGGATTGCTACATTAACCAATTGAGTTAAGGTTTCAGCCTCAATTTTGTCCCTTATTCACACAAGGAAGTTATAATATCCACCATCTTTAAAATGTTGCCAACTTTCATGTGACTGCCAGTGCATGGTAAAGATGCAGATCAGGGCAAGACAATTTGTACTGAAAATAAAAAAGGAAAAAGAAACTACCATCAAGAGGCTTCGATATTTCGAAATGAGAAACTTAACATAATCAGGCAAGTTGTATTGGCGAGATCTTGCAGAGTAGGACACCAAGTAGTAGTTGTTGACAAAATCGTTACCACCAACAGTAATGAGGACGAGTGCTTGGTTTACAAGTTGATGAGCTTGCCTCGATCCAATGAGAGCAGACAGTCTTCGCTTATATTCTTGAAACAACTCCAACTGTCTATACATTCTCAATATATTTACCTGTAATTGTGACACATTTTGGGTTATTGACATATTGTCGTATTGGCTTATAGCAGCATTTCTTGTTAAAAAACGGCTATCTATTCAAGCAAGCATAGCATGATCTTCTACTTTTAAATAAAAGATTAATATCACAAATGACCTTTAAACAGTAATAAAATGTTCAACGTGATATTTAAATTTTAAAAATTTCTAATATAATTCTTAAATAATAAATGATATGCTAATTAATATGATATTTATATCTAACATTGTTAACTTCAAATGATGACACGTAATTGACTAACAACCCTCCAAAAGCAACATTTATTAACAGATTTATATTTCAAGTATCACATTATAGATTTTTAAAATTCAGATTCTACATTAAATGTTTCACTACAGTTCATAGCCATTCATGTTATTATCTCTTAAATAAACTTTTATGGTGGAAAGAAATGAGGCTGATTAGCTGCTAACTTACAAATTGAACTCCAGTGTCATTAAGGATTCCCACGCCAGCTGAAGCAAAGTTGGCACCAACAAGCAGCTTTCTCCCATTAAACTCTGGGCTCAAATATGGCAATGGAGATTCTGATAAGCCAATTTGCTCACCTGGCAAGCATTAATTCAATTGACTTAAATAAATACATTTTATTGCCTCATTTTCTGTAGACAAGAATATAACAAAATTAAAAAAGAACAAGGACAATAACATGACTATTACTATTATTAGAAACTTAACCAATCAGGTCTGGGATGTTAAGGCCATTAGAGAAACGCCCGGTGGGTCTTCGAGTTGGATAATCAATTCCATAAGGGGGTGAATCTGCACGAGCAGTTGTTGCAAGGTAGTTGTTGTTGCCACTGTCAACAAGTGAATCACCAAAAACAAAGAATGCTCGACCTCGAGCCTCAGCTATGGGAACAATACTCCCCAAGGCCAATATGAAAACCAAGACCATAAAAAAATCAGAAAATGTTGATGAAGAAGCCATTAGCGTTATCACAAGAAACAAAAGAAGAATTCTGTGGGAATATGAAAATAATGGGGTTGCTTTATAGAGCTGGAATTTCAGCAACCATTGAATTAAAGAGAAGCTACAAAGCAAAAAGCAAGCTGTTTTGGTAGTTGTATACTCATACCAACTTTTGCTCTTCCTTTTAAATCACCGCCAAGAGATGTGAAAATGGAATTGCACCTTTATCAGGAAATTTATTGATAGTGTTGCATTTTTCATGATAATGATCTGTCTGTCCTGGCTACTGGATCTCAGTCACAGCGGGCTAGGGAAGATATGAATTTATATGATACTTCAGACTTTTTGTGTAGATCAATAATGGAAATAAACCATGTAATTGGTGTATTAAGCATATCATTGAAGGTCATCATTTTAACCAGTGCCAGTGGCATATTACAGATATACAAATAGCAGGAAGTCATATTCTTTCTTAAAATAAAGCTTTGTTTAAAAGGCACTGAGATAACTTTCAGTTTTTTTTGTCCTTTCTTTTTCCTTCTCAAATGAAGGCTAGAACGCTTAAATGGCTCTGCTGTTTTGGATAGCTTTATCAAACATTTATCTCCAAGGAAACATTGTTGTTTTAAGTACATAAATTATCTTCTCAAGATTTAGAATCTAGAAGTAATTCTCTGATCAATATCCTCAAATTTGTGGATGCATATCGCTGTAATCTTGTACATTCGCTTTCCTGCTATTGTCTCTTAGTTCAACTCTCTGAAATTTCGAATGAGATGCCTCTCCGTTTGAGTTACTTGTTTTATGAATAATCTGTCTGGCATTGCTTACTCTTCAAAAGTTACAGATAAAATTTGGACTTCACATTGAAATATCAAGACCAAATAGAAATTGACACAGAAATTAAACAAAATCCATTGGCATTAGATCAGTTGGAAAGTTGTCAAAAATGTCAATCAGGATGTGGAATCTAAAGCTATAATGATGCTGTGGTTCATTGGATACATGAATTTGGTAGAGCCGATCATGATTTGTTGCAATCAATTTGTTTGCCTTCTCTGGGGGATGGAAATGCATACCAGAATGCGTATATCTCTCTGTTGGGCGCAAGTTGGAGAACATTGTACATACCGTTATACGGTCCTTGCCCACAGCATGCCATTTGTAATGTAGTAAACCCTGCCAAATCATAACATATGCATGTCAAAATCCAAAATGCAACTGCTTCATGATCATTACCAGCTCGAAATCATTACATAGTTGCATGGAATGGTAGGAAAGCTGACATAATATATGCTTGAGGGTCACTAACAAAATCCTGCACATTTGTTGTATATTTGCAGGGATGAAGACATCACTGGCAACCTTTCTGTTTAGTCCATTTACCATCTGAACTAGTTGTGGGTTATTCAAAGACGCAGCTCATTGCAGTTCAGCTGAACATCAACCATTTGTTCCCTCATGGCTAATTCTGCTGGAACACAACCTAATGGTCTAGTGCCTGTCACAAGAACATGGCGTGCTCGCAGTCATCTGACATTGCATCGCTTGCATATTTGAGGGGAAAAAACTGTTGGAAAGTAAAGATGGGAATGGAATCACAATAAAAAGTTTCCGATAATCTGAGTTGAGAAACTTCACATAATCTGGCAAATTATATTGAAGAGACCTTGCTGAGTAGGCACCAAGTAGTAATTGTTCACAAAATCATTGCCACCAACAGTGATGAGAACAAGTGCCTAGTTTACAAGTCTGCACGTCTGCTCAGCTCCAATGAGGGCACTCAATCTTTGCTTTATTTTTCAAAGTAATCAAATTGTCTGAACATTCTTATTATATTTACCTCCAAATTGGAAATTCTATGTTACAGCTCAAATTAGAATACAAGCTTCTATACAGTAGTTCATATAGTCAAAGTTTTTGCAGGATTACAGGGAAATTTATATGAAACAAAAGAAAAGTTAAAATGAGAATTGAAAGATATCAAGCCAAAGGCAATTTGGATAGAAATTCAAATTTTGCCGATGAATATTAATTATTGCTGCTTATAAGAATATGTATGCAGTAGGAGAAAAAGCACCAAAGATTCTTCCTATTTATTAGCTGTGGCAAATGGACCCTCAGTAACAAGGGCGGCAAACTTACTAATTGAATTCCAGTGTCATTAAGGATTCCAACCCTGCTAAGCAAAGTTGGCACCATTAAGCAGCTTTTGTCCTCTGAGCCCTGGACTCATGTATGGCAATTGGTGTTGTGATAAACCAATTTGCTGGCCTGATCAGACAAGTACAGAAATGACTTAAATATTTATACATGTTCAAAGACAACCAAACAACGTTGGAAAGTTAATAACTCAAGTTGGAACCTAACTAATGAGTCTGGGATGATAAGGCCATTAGAGAAACTGCCTGTTGATCTGTCAGTTGGGTAATCAAACCCATAAGGGGGAGAACCCGCACAAGCAGTTGTCACAAGGTAGTTGTTGTTTCCACCATAAAGTGAATCACCAAATACAAAGAATTCTCAAGCTTCAGCTTGGATAAAAACAGCTTCTAGAGCAAACACAAAGGCCTAAAACTATCCAAGAATTTCTATTTTTGGCCAAACATAACACCTACCCTTTAAACCCCGGCAACCCCTAATTTTCACTTACCTGGCTGTATGAAGTTGCTGAATCTCGAGACAACACCACAAGTCCTAGTATCTTCTTCAACACTGGGTGCCATTGGGCATTGTCATGAAAGACTATCGTATGGTTTAAGATACTAATATCGTTCCTAGGATAGACATTGATATCTTTGCAACCATACCAGAACATGGTGATAAAAACTTGCCACCATGCTAGATCAATCTGCATTCTGCGATTGCCAATTCAATATTAATGTCAACTTTGATTAGCAAAGAAAATAATCTGCAACAGACATGATCAGTACGTGAATTACTTTCATATTAAGAAAGTTATCTTATAGCTATTATAGAAAAAATTTTCTTTTCTTTTCTTTCTGACTCTTTGTGACTGCTTTTGCACGTGACAATTGCCTGTTCCATCATCAAGCATTTGGGTGACAGTAAAGTTCCCTGTAAGTCATTTATGACTCCAACAGTCCAACTATAATATGCCATAACATCAAACTCAATGAATACATTTCTCTCTCTTATCATCATTCAATCATATCAACACCAGAAGTTGTTTGTTTCCGAACTTCTACTTAGGAATCAAAACCAGATTGGTTTAGCCTAGAAAATTGAATTGATAAGATACAATATGTTGGTGCAGGTAACCAAGGTAGACCAATAATCATACTTCAAAACAATTTTGGTTGTTCAGAATAATTTTTCGCTTTCATGGTTAGGATCATGACAAAAGCAAATGAACCTTCTGGTTCAATTAATTAAGTACTCTTTCCCATATGGATATACTCATTCAATGGAGAAGGAAAAAGCAAAACATTTTTTATATTTGAGATTATCAAAAATTAAATTATGACAAAATTAAAAATTTAACACTCTTTTAACAGATCTCGTAGTAACGCCCTTAATACTTTTAGCTTTGCTTCCATGTGATACGTGTAAATGGCTTTTGCAGTTGAATTGAACTTAATACCCCAAACCCCCAAAGAATTATTTCCGTTGGACCGCCCACAGTCATTGCAAAGATCAAAACGCAATAAATAATGACATCCAATCAATCAAGAGAGATTTTGTACATGTGTTAATTTTACCAGGCAAATTAATTAATATTTGCACATGTTTAGAAAAAAGTAAATGGTAGCTGATGCCCTTAAAATTAATTAAACCTTTTTAATTAAATTGCTAAATCAAAACCTATGGCATTTTCTCCTACATATATATATATATATATATATGCATGGGCATCAATGATGAACATTGATGACAGCCAATCACAATGGATCAGGACGTGGAATTTTCAAGTCTATTCACCAACAGATGAGGTGGAAAATACATTCTACGGTGTTAGAGGTTGAAGTAGATAGTCATTATTGAGCTTTTACCTAACAAATTAAAATTGCAAGTAAAGAGGCTATTCAAGAGGCCATCTATTTAGTGTTGATTCCAAAATATTTTCTCTAGTGAAGGATTGGTCAAGAGTCAAGAGTGGGCCTCCATGAGTTCAAATGGAAGAGCTTAGGTATGAGGATCTAGAAGTTTAATGCATCACTAAAGCTTGAACTAAATGCACTCATGAATTGATTTAGTGAAAAATGCATTTATTTCGAGTTCCTCTTTAAATTTTGAATTTGAACTCTTTTCTTCAAATAAAAAAAAAATAAAAGAATGAACATTAACTTGGGTATTGCAAAAGCACAACAAAACGCTATAGTTTTATCCCTATCTTTATTGAAATAAAGAACACAAGGCACCATGGGATTTATCGTAACTTGAACTAAAAATAATTGTAACTAATTTAATTAATTTTCGAGTTTGGAACATATTTCTTTGCATCCATTTTGCAGACAAAAAAAAATTTTCTCCTTAACCAAGTAAGGTGTGATATTTACTATGAAAATGAAAGTATCAAGATTGACCCATTAGATGAGAAACCAAACAAAAAGCAAAAGATCATAATAGATAGAGGGTAGATGGTAAGAATTTAATTTCACAATGGGCCAAAGATGGATCCCTTACGTCTCTTGTGGCTTCACCAACCCGGCATATAAGAAAATAGCATGTGATTTGAACATTGACCAAAAACATTATTAAATATGAAATGCCAATTAACATCCTACGGATTAGCCTATGTTCATCCTTAATGTTAGTAACCAAAGTAATGAGATGCCGCGTCGGTCGATAAGGTCTATTTATTTTTCATTTTCTAGTAAGTTTGAAGTTTTGTAATATAGTTCTCTGCATGTAATGTTCCATTCCTATATTAAAATATTATAAAAATTTATTATGACATATATAAAGATTAAAATTTATATTTATTAGATGTTTTTTATAAAATAAAATCGTAAAAATTTTAAATTAAAATGGGTAATATATCATAAATTGGATATGGATCTCCACATCATCTATATATCGCATTCATAAAAAAAGTTTTCAATAGATTTTGGGAAAATCTGAAATTTAAAATAAAATCAAACTTGAAAATGATAAGTTGGTTTGGTAAATAAAATAATTTCGATATTGACTCTTAAGCTAGTTAGTTACTATTGGCCAAAAACAAAAATGCCAGCTTATTGTTATTCAGACAATTCATAAGTCATTTATAACAAAATTTTGTTGTAATAAATGCTGAACAGCAACTTACATTAATTTCCTACCTTACTCCAGTGAGCTTGCATGTGAGGTTTATTAACTAATATGATTTGAATGGTTGACAAATGCAAAGAACAATGATTGGAATTTCAGATTTTAAAGATACAATATCATTTTTTTTTCATTTTCTTTTTTTTTAAATAATATGATTCGAGGTTTTGAATGTGTAGAGATAATGAAAAATGAATAATAGGAAACTACTGATTAATAATAAAACAGTTTGAAACATTACATTACAAATTATCAAGAAATTAATTCCAATCACAGGAACAACATTGTAATCAAATGCATGGCAAGGAAACAACAATGGTATAACACAAGGTGTTCTTGTCCTTGTTAGAATGCAACTAAGTCCTGGTGTTGGAGTCCAAAGCCAAGAGGGTGCTGAGATTCATGGGGCTCATGTAATTTGTTGAACCACTCAAGATCATGTCAACAATAATCCCATTAGCCCTTTCTGATGGATGGAATGGATCCCAGAAAGCATACTCGTCTCTATTCGAGCACAAATTTGATAACACAGTGCATAATCCCAGACCATTGTAGGGTCCTTGGCCACAACAAGCTATCTTTGACGTAGTAAATCCTGCACAGAAAAAGTATAGCATTCAACATATCATGTTAAAAACATTGATTTGATATGATTTTTAGTTCATCTCCATTGCTGGTTTTTATCATCTTCACCAGAAGAATCATTCTGCTTGTTTATGAAATTACAGGATTCATGATATTTGTTGAGAATTAATTATGATATACCTAAAATGAGTACCAAAAATAAAGGATTGCAAAGGGTCTCTTAAAGAGAAATAGAGTCAAGTCATGATCTTACTCCAACCTCATTAAGTGTTTTTCTTTTTGAGAGGGAAAATTTTGGAGCAAAATCCAAAATCTTTGGTAGCTTTCATTATAATTTCACAGTGATTGTACGTGGGGTAGGTTGCCCTAATAAATAAACTTTGGGTACTTTTCTTAATTAGGTCAACAAAATATCATACTTTTTTGTTGTTCATCCTTGGCCTCCATTCTGCAGTGTCTCTCTGCCTTCTATCAATTCTCCTCAATCTCATATCTAATTAATGCCTCATTCATTACTCTTAATTGTTGGTTTCCTTTTGATGTGACAAAAATAAAGAGTGATCAAATGTTGAATTATGGATTTACTTACCATAGGCTCCAGGGTTACTAACGAAATCATTGGTTTGTTGCTGTGTATTAGCAGCAATGAAGATATTTGCACCATACTCGTTATTGAGTTCATTTATCATTTCAACCAGCTGTGGATTATACAAGGCTGCAGCTCGTTGCAGCACAGGGTCACACTGACCACTAAGGCTCCTCAAGGCTAATTCCGCTGGAACACAACCCAACGGGCCGGTCCCGGTCACCAGAACCCTCCGAGCTCCCAGATCATGTAGTCTCTGCAATATAAATTGTGACAGTTTTGAAATGCATTTTTTTATGCATGTAAGTCAATGTGACACAAATTTAAAACCAAGGGGAAGAAATTTACCATTAGAATTTTTCTGTACTCAGAGATGAGATATCTAACATAATCTGGTAGATTGAATTGGCGAGATCTTGCAGAGAAGGGCACCAAGAAGTAGTTGTTCACAAAATCATTGCCACCCACAGTGATTAGGACAAGAGCATCGCTCACAATACGCTGTGCTTCGTCATATCCTACAAGGTCAGCCAACCGGGTCTGGTATTCTTCAAAGTATTGTAATTGCCTGAACATTCTTATAATGTTTATCTGCCAATGTATCATTTGAAAAAAAAAGGAAAGAATTAGGCAAAATGGGGCTTGGACTGTGTCCGTTTCCATGGAACTATGTAGATTTTATATGATTGAGAAAGAAATTTCAGGACTTACAAATTGGATGCCAGTGTCATTGAGGATTCCAATACCAGCAGAAGCAAAATTGGCACCAACAAGTAGCCTATCTCCCCTCAGTTCTGGACTAAAGTATGGCAATGTTGGCTCTGAGCCAAGTGCATCACCTGATACACACACACACACACATTAAGTCAATTCAATTAGCATGACATAGACAACATTGAAAGCACAACAAACAAAATAAACATGGAAAGAAAAACAGAAATCCCAACTGATAAAATCAGGAATGTTTTTGCCATTTGAGAAGCGGCCTGTGGGGCGACGACTAGGAGTATCAATGCCATATGGAGGTGAATCTGCTCTAGCAGTGGTTGCTAGGTAATTGTTGTTGCCATTGTCAACCAGAGAATCACCAAATACAAAAAATGCCCTGGCAGCTTCAACTTGAGTAGTTGAGGTTGCCATGACAAGCCCTAAAACCATCCATGAAGCAAGAACCACTGAGTTTGCCATGGATGCAGAAAGGAGAATAATACCCAGCTATCTCTTTATTGGAGACTGTCTTGGCATGTGTATCAAAGAATAGGTACTGCTTATATATAGGTAGGGGCTCTTGTTAAAGGAGAAAAACATAGCCTACACAAAGAAAAGCAATGTAGTACAGGCAGTTGTATTTGGCAATGCTATGAAGTCACCACTGACCACCCAACCCCTCACCCTCTCCCCAATTCAATTGAATCATCTACTTTTAATGCTCTGAATTAATGAATATAGTTCAATGTTTTAAGGCTTTCAAATCAATTTGGTTAGCTTTGCCTTAAATTTCATAATGGTAGGTTTTTTTCTCCTAACATTTGAACATGAAAATGTTGTAAAAACTTACCGCAATGTTTTTGGTTCCATGTACTTAACTTTTACAATCCTTGATGCTTTCCAAAAATATTGATTTGTCGCAACCGCCAACTGATATATTATGTTAGTAAAGTATTAAACTCTTAATTTTAATAATTAATTATTAATTTTTGATAAATTCAAATTGAAAAAAAAAAGATTTGTCACTTTCAACAATCACCTATTTGTTCATTTGATATGGAATAAATGAAATGATTTTAAATAGGGTAGTCATTCACTATCTAACTCTATTTACATAACTACTTATTTGTTCCCTTTACAAAACATTGTTCAATAATATTAACTGAAATTCCTCAATTTACTGCTTACTTGCACATTTGAGAAAGTTCAAGGAAGGGGAATTCATCCCACTTTATCTTTCTCAAAGAGATATAACAATGGCTAGACGCCATTGCTGTTCTGCTTAATTAGTAATTGATATTACAGCATTCATATCACTTCTTCTTCCCTAAGATATCTTCTTGAACTTTCATTTTCGGCAAATTTTTTTGAAAAAAAATATTCAAAAAAATTTTGAATATAAAATTATATATCAATCATGAATCAAATGTTTAGATGCTACTTATTTACTAATTTAAGCTAATAATAAAGAAGCTTATCTGAAATGAGATTAATTTTTTCAACTCTGTTTTAGGAAAGAAAAGTAATATGTGGGGTTTAATTTAGGATTGGCATGCTCATCCCGAACTCGATCCGATTTTATGTGTTATTAAATTCGAATATAATTTTATACGAAAATTTTTTTGTTTTTTTATATCTGAACCCGGCCTCAATTCCGACTCGATACTATATAAATAGTACCAAATTCGATCCAAAATTAATAAAATATTATTTTTAAAATAAAAATATTATTTTTTAAATATAAATATTTAAAAATATCATTAAATAAATATATATAAATAAAAAATTAAATAATTAATTAAAAATAAATTTTTTATATAATATCAAATCGGATCGAATCAAATTTGTTTAAAATTTAAACTCGACCTGAAACTTGAATTTAAAAAAAAAAAAAATTTAATCTTATAAAATCAAATCGTATTGAATTAGATTGTCGACCCTAATTTAATTCTTAGGACTTCTAATCCAAACTTTAGGACATTGCCCTACTTGCGTGAGCTAAGTTCATACTGATTTAGACGTTTTGACTTTCGGATGGATCTTCATTTACACCAACAAGGTACATCAAATTGTTTGGACTAATAATAATAATAATAATAATAAAAGAAAACCAACCACAACAACTCGTAGTGGACTTTTTTTATTGTTTTTTTTTTGTTGGGTCCTTAATTTATTGGTGTGACTCCCTCTAAAAATAATATTACTTTTTTTTTATTTTAAGTTGCGAGAAATTATCTTTAATCACTAAAATTAAAATTTTAATATTTTATCAAAATACTTCACATTTTTTATATATAAAAAATCACAGTTTAAAAATAAAAAATTTATATATTATTATTGAGATTAGAATTCTATATTTATTAGATATTACTCTTTAGAAGTGGCTTATATATATTTGCTAAAATACTAAAAAAAAAATCTTGAACTTTATCAACTTAAATAAAATCTTATATTTTTATTACACCCAAACAAAACTTTTATAATTTGATCTATATCTAAATAAAATTTTATTTTAAACTAATTATTGTAAATTTTTTCTAATTCTCTTTAATAATATAAATTTTGACTCTTTATCTATATAAAGATTTTACTTCAAATTAACATTTATGATCGTGAGAAATTAATGTCTTACATGCATTATATTTTATGTTAAGAATTTATTTAGATACAAATTAAATTATAAGAATTTATTTGTATACAAATTAAAAGTTAAGAATTTATTTAAATATAAATTAAAAATTAAAGATTTATTTAGATGTAACAAAATATGAGGATTTATTTAAATAAAATAATAAAATTAAAGGATTTTTTTGTTATTTTAGCCATAAATATTCAACAAATTGAAGCCTTTTGTTTTGTTGACAATCAATGTAGATTAACTAACTTTAAATTCCACTTTGACTAAAGGTTATTCATTGAGGGGGGGGGGGGGGGGAGTATATAAAGCCACCTTAGTGAACCTGTCATGTGCTAGTTATATATGGAAATTGATAGGAAAATTGAAATGCAATTACAAATTGCTTGTGGCTTAATTACAATTTTTAAATATTTTATGTTGTTAAGGGTTAAACCTTGACTAGAAAAGGTTTGGAATTTAAAAAAAAAAAAAAAAAGAAATTGGGAATCAGTTGTCATAATCAAAAGCAAATCATGATAAAGAATTTATGGAAAAACAATGCTTTTTTGGAAAATGTAATTATGATTAATTTAGGTAACGATATGTGAACGTATTATAATTTTATTTGATGAAAGCCTTATATTCAGTGTCTCAAATATTCATATATATTTTTGGATAATAATGTTCATTTATTTTTATTTATCATGTAAGATAAAATCAAGAATTTGTATTTAATATACTATTCACAAATCATAATTTCAACCTCATCAAGATCAGCAATGTTTAGTAAAAGTTTAATAAATTTTTAAATAATATGATAAATTATGAATAACGATCGTGTATATACCAGAATTAGAATTATTTATGAATTAATATAATTTTATTAATATAATTTTAACTGTCAATTCTTTCATATTTCATAAACAAAAGGAAAAAGAATAGACTTTGAATGTTAAAAATAGTAATTCATAAATATATAAAATTGAATATTTCCAAGGCTTTAAAATACCAACTACTCACTCAAATTAAAAGGAAAAAATTCAACTACTCTAGATAATATATATATATATTTATATATATATATATATGCTAGTCTTACCTAGCTGGAAAAATAGAAAAAATAACCACTTTCATCAAAGTTTTCATACTAATATTACTTAACCTGCTTTTTAGGCTCTTAAATTCCTACAAAAGCATGGGTATGGAAATCTTGTCCCTACGACCTTCAATTGAACTATATCAACACTCCCACAACCACCATTATCATTTATTTTGATTTATATTATGCAAAAGATTTTCATAGATAGCTCCTAAATCAATTGAGTTTCAAAATTGAATTTTTTGTATTTAGTAAGAAACACACATATGTGCATAAATTAATTGGGTTAAGTTGAGATTTAATCATCAAATTAAACTGCTAATTATGTTTGAGATGGGTGTACAAATTAAAAAAGCAACCGGCTCTATAATTTGTTATAATCAAGTTGCCAAGAGAGAAATTGAATAATTTGATATCAAGAATTGATGGAAGAAAAGAGTATTCCCCATTTCAAAATTTTATGTTGATTAGGTTTTGAGTCTTGCATGTTCCTCTCTCTTTTTTTTTTTTTTTATAAATTATTGGAGGAGACTAAGTATGCTAATTAAATCACACGAGATATAGGTCTTGTAACACTCCAATCATTTGAGCATCCATACATGCAATTTAGGATAAGAGAAGAAATTATATATATTAGAATTTGAACAAAAAATCTGTTAAATGTTACTTACGGATAATTGCATAAACTAAATTAAATTTTGAGTTTATGTTTCAACCATAGTTGCTTACACTTCAGAGTAACCCACTTAAGAGATCTTTATGCTGTAAAGGTTGCTTAATCTTAATGACTGCGACTAAAGAGTAGCATTCCACGATTACCTTCCAATCTTCAATCTAGTAGAAATAGAATGCAATTCTGCTTTCAAAATACAACCTCTGCCAATCTTGATCATGATGAATCCCACAGCCCTTGACTGTCTCGACAAAGTCCCCTACCGTAATGTCACCGATTTTAAAGATGCTGCCCCATCCACATTCAACTTGACAAAACTATCTGTCCGTTGTCAAAAAATAAAAAACCAGATTTACCATTCCAATGGACAGTTACAATTGGCTGGTGGTACCATAAAAATGGGCTTATCTCACTGCAGCAAATAATGGTCCGGGCCATAAAACAAAGGCAAATGGGTGAAAAGCTGAGGCTTCTCCCTTTGCATTCAGCAACGTGTTGAATTGTTTAGTCGAATAAAAATTAGTTCTGTTTGGTAGTGTTTTTTCCCCTTATTTTTGATAGAATATGTATCATCCTTAAAAAGTTAATTTAAATATTTTTTATTGAGGATTGAAAATAAAAAACTAAAAGAAGAGGATATAACAGTAAATAAATCAAACAAAAAGGGTACTGGCATGTCTTGTTTGAACCAGCTGATCACTGGCCAGAGGGGAAAAATTTATATGAAATTTAATATGTAGAGTTTGTGAAGTTTTTTATTAAAAATAAATATATATATATATATATATATTAAAATTAAAAATTAAAATCGATAAATTAAAAGATTTCATTACGTATATTAAATATGTAAATTTTGAAAAAATTTTAATAAATTTTGATATATTTATTAAATATATATTTTTAATAAAAAGATTAATAAAATTTTTATCATTGAATAAATATTAATCAAATTTAAATTATAAAAAATATTTTAATATTTTTTTATATATTGTTGATATTCATATTGCACTATATCAATTTATTGATTCAAAATTTTTATTTATTTATTTTTAATAAAAAATTTTACGAATTTTATTTATGAAATTTCTGGTAAATTTTATCCGGCTGTAG